TTTTTTGCCACAGGCAGGCAGTGTTAAGCAGTGGTTTCAACACATTCATCTTTATTTTCGTCCTCACTTATTTTAAAGACCCATGATTTCCACGCATTTTTGTTATAATGTCAGACTTAATTGGATCATTGTACCCCATCAATCAGAGCACCCATATTTTTTACCGACCATGACACTTGAAATCACAGCATTTGGACTGGTGTCTCCTCTGGCGAGCCCTGACCTGACTTTGTGCTTTTTCTTGTCCATTTTTCCTTCTTCCTCATTTTGGCGTTCATTCAGATCACCCAGTGAATCTTCTGACAGCACACGTATCTTTCAGGCTACTTGGGTCAGACAGGTGAGACGGCACACACACACCCCAACACATACACACCTTCCCCCTCACTGCATAACATACACAACTTAGAATGCTGTATAACATCCTCTCTGATATCTTCTCACTGATAGACAGTGCGACTGTAGATGATCATGAGGCTGAGGACAGAGGCCCTCGCTCTGCGCAGGTACACTCACTGCTCACGCAGCTGAAATACACTACCTTCTTTCTGTTGGGACTCTCGGAGGTCTGCCTTAACGCCATTGATGTCATTGATCAGTTGATATTTAAGACTTGTTCTGAGAAGAGACAGAGGGACGTGGCTGTTGTGTGTTGTGTGTGTGTTGGTGTGTGTGTGTTGTTGTTGTGTGTGGAAATTGTGTGTTTAGAGCAAAGATTTCTGGGTGAATTTTACCTGTTAAGTCATGGGACAGCATAGACGCCAAAATCATCTTTGGGTCTGATTTGGATTGCCACGCTAACACTATGTGGTAACGATTGGTTTAGGAATATTGCAATATTGAAACATTTAGTAAATGAGAAGTTGTTAGCAGTCTTATTAAGGTCATTTTATACAGGTCAGTTTTGCAGTGATCAGTAAAACCTGCACAATATATATATATATTTTCTGGTAATACAAAGCTACTTTTGTTATGGACTGGGTAATTTTTGCGTCTATTGTCCCATTACTGGAGCTAGTTGCCAGTCTTCTTTTGAGTTATGATGTGCTGAATGTTGTGAGCCTTTGGGTCAAAACGGTCGTGGTCCAAAACTGGTATTAACAGGCTTTCTCCCAGTTTTCCTCAGGGGTAAACAGAGTGTACCTTGTTTAAGAGCTTAGTGGTCAGGAGCAAGCTCCCATCTCCCTCTGCCTTGCTTTTTCCATAATAACAGGGTCTAAGGTTTTTACAGGTTCTTGACCATATCCTGTGTGGGTTGACAGGCTGTCTGTACATATTTGTATATAAATCCTGGGTTCTTTTACTGTGTTTTCACACTTTATATTCCTCAGTGTTTATTTATTTTTTGTCAGAAATAACTTACCATAACATGCTGAAGCTAGCTGGGTCTGTTTCTTTATTTGGGATTTAAAGGTTGAAATAAAGATCTGTGAATCGTGTATTGTTACGTCCCTTGTACCTAACCTGATGTTGTGTGTGGTGTGTTGTGTGTTGTGTGTGTGTGTGTGTGTGTGTGGTGTGTGTGGTGTGTGTGGTGTTGGTGTGTGTGTGTGTGTGTGTGTGTGTGTGTGTGTTGTGTGTGTGTGTGGTGTGGTGTTTGTGTGTGTGTGTGTTTGTCTTGCAGGGTGGTGGTGCTGGAAAGCAGGCCTACCGACAACCCTACAGCCCACAGCAACCTCTACATCCTGGCAGGCCATGAAAACAGCTACTGAGAGACACACACACACACACAAAAAAATATTCGCACATAAACACACTCTCTAAACAGCCTACCACTAATGCAAACAAGGGAGTGAGCAGCCGGGAGACACACTCAGCCCAACCCTATCGCTAACCCACCCAACCTCCTGTTGGCCGTGTAACTGGGAGATGAGCCGTTTGTGGGTGCAGGTGTGGATTCCCAGTCGCAGACATTAAATGCACCGCAGTGTTACATGTGTATTAGTTTAGCGTGTTGTAGTAGGGCAGCGGGTTGCGGACCGAGGGGTTTAAAGTGCTGGTCTGAGGCCAGTTTGGGTTGAGATAGTCGGGGAATCTCTTCTCTGCACCTTACAAGCGCGACTTCAACTCAGAACCCTTCCTAATTACCATCCTACCTTTCCCCCCCGCATACTGCACACTGGGAAAACAATATCCAGCACAGAAGTCTGACTTCAACACTACTTCTACTACTAGCTCTACACATACTACTACTGCTACTGCTACTTGCGCTAAAGCTTCACAGAAGAGCCATCTTGCACAGAAAACCTTTCTCTCTTTCATCATCCTTTCCTCTTTTCTTTTCTCCCCCTTTTTTTTTTTAACTACACCTTTATTTATTGTGGCATGATGTAACTTTAACAACTGGGATGGCTTTCCTATTTTATTTGTTTATTTTTTTTTTAAAGGATTTTAAAAAAAAAAAGAGAGAAAACAGACTAAAAAGCTTCGCCACCTCTGCTAGCATTGAATTCCTATACCTGTCACCACACCACACAAGTGCTTAATTGACCTCTATTTAATTGTTGTAAATATAAATGTAGTATTTTTTTGACAGAGACGAACACTAAAAAGACTGGTCATGTAGATAGGCGTGTGTATAGTTGGTCTGTACAACTGTGGAGACAAACAGAGAGAGAGACGGACAGGCATGTAGGAGCAACGGGGCAGTAAACTCACTTACTAGTTCCCTGATCATGTGACGAGGGTCAGGAAACAAAGACTCCTGCAGTCTCCTCAGGTGGACAGCTTTGGTAATCAGATATTATTCTAACAATCTGGAGCTCAGGATTGGACTGAGCAAACACAGGAAGCAGCACTGATTGGTAATTTAATTTTGCATGCATCACCATCAAAACTTCCTGCCTGTTTGCACCATAGCAACTGTCGTCAGGGCAGCAGACCTTACAAGTTCTGACATCATCATTTTAAATTTTTTTTAACGCTGTTTTAATCAGAAAGCTTCATTTTCTTTTCTTTTTTTTACTGCTATTTTTTTTTATTGAACCACTGGTGTTAAAAATTTGCACAGAGAAAAAGGTATTTGACAAACAAATGTGATGTCATTATAATATATGACCTTGTGTGTATGCACAGTGTGTGGGTGTGTGTGTGTGTGTGTGTATGTGTGTGCGTAGACATAGATTATGCATATACAAGTGCGTCATGTACAGATCTGGTCTTTAACAAGTGACGGTTGTGTTTCAGCCCGAGGCCACTTTAAAAGGGCACCGACAGATATAAAAAAAAAAACAAGACAAAAGCTGGATTTACACAGAAGGAAAAATCAATTTATTTATGCAGTAGACATGGTATATTATCATCATTTCTATTGTTATATTGAACTTCTATGGAATTGCACATGTGTGAAGTTCAAAGGGTTTGTTAAAACAGTTACATAAAATTACTGAAATGGTTTGATACATTTTAATATGAATGATCTGGAACAATTTGAATCACAAGTGGTAGAAAACCCCTCCCATGTGGTACTCAAAACAAACGCAAAAGAACTGTTTTAAAGTACTGCTTGATAAGGTTCTATCAAGCTAGTACACGATCACAATAAAACGTATTTACTGTATGGAATAAAATTAAGAGCTAAAGGTCCGACTCCCATTCTTAGCTAGCTTCTGTTCTACTGGCCTCCAAAACAAAATGGATAAAACAAGATGCTGGGTAGATTGGTGCATACTATTACTATGCTGGACACACTGAATACATTTTTAATTTTCTGTATGTATTGAATACATAAAATAACGTTTTGTTAGCATTAAGCATACCTCGAGTGAAAAGTGCTGTCACAGTTGTTCAACACTAACAAAATAACCTGTTTTATCTTTAAAATAATGAGGTGCTCAAGTTTTGTTACCTAGATCATAAACTTAATTACGTGTTTCAGCTTTTTTTTTTTTTTTTAATGAATGCTACTAGAACAGAAGCTAGCCCAGTAGTGGGGCGGGAAATTACATTTCTGTGTAAGTCCAAATGTCCTTTTAGTCATATTTGGAGAACTTTAGCCTCCATTGCTGTGACTTTTTTTAAAGACCGACATCTGTACGAGAGATCCCACTACATGCGTGTAGATTGTGCACTGTGTGATGTGTTGGAGAGTCGACATGTGGCTGTACACTACCAGTCTTTACAAGCTGTAACACTAGAGGTGGCTTCAGAAAACGTGAACACTAGTTTAGCTGAACCTAACTGAGACACTATCACTAAGCCAGAGTTGTTACAGAGCTGAAACGTTTGGGTTTCCTTTTCAAGGGGACCGGTTTCCAGAAGTCCGTTTCTCAAAGAACAAGACGTTAAAGTTAATGAACTGCTTTTTACACACAGCATTGAGTGACTTCATGAGATCAGTAACATAACCTAAATATCATTAATATGAAAGAGAAGTCATTATCAATATGGTAACCGTAACATCTCAAAAACTGATTGTAAATGTGGTGTTTTATAAGAATTTGGTAACAAAACCTGATTTATGATGAACAAAAACTGCTGCCATTTAGTGACCCCTAACCCAAAGTGATCCAACACTGGACTATAATGCAGTGTCATGTATACATACTGAAGATCAAACTAATGCATCATCAGCCTGTAACAACAAAGCTGAGATCCATTTGACACAATAGGAACAGGAACCATAACATTATTGTCCTTTTTACAATGTTAAGTCTAGCTAAATGGAACAATTATTAATGGATGACAACATTTCAGCTCTGTATATAGGCACTGTCACTGAAAATGTGGTTGCAAAAGGGATGTCGCCCCGTTGGGGGACAATTTAAGCAAAGAATGTAACGGCTTTCTGTTCCTCCTTGATCTCTTATCACCCCTTTGATTTCCTTCCACTTCCACCTTCCACAGAAAGTCGATTCGTCATAAACTCAACCTTTTTTTGTCACTACCATCATGACAGCATGTCCCTCCAAACATTCAGCGGTCGGAGTCACACCAATGCCCCTATACACTATTTCAAAATATTTTAATGCATTATTCGTGGACAAACAGACATAAACTTTTACTGGATTCCAGCTCCTGATGCTTTATTGCGCTGTTGTGGTGAAATATCTAAATTTAGCATAGTCTAGTTAAGTGTAGAGAGCTTGAATCCACTTTGAGCATTTAAATTATTCATCTACTTCTTTCGCCTGTGCACACAAAGAAAAACACAAAGTGTTGCTTTGCACCTGGAATACAAATGGCAGAAATATGAAATATTTCAAGATTTAACAACTACACTTAATTGCCATGTAGTAAGTTTGGTGTGTCCCTGATGTGGTGCCCTTCGTAGGACATTAATGTCTGTAATTTAACCACAAATCAGCCATAAAAGAAATAAATGTCAAATCAGTTTAACTATGCTCTCAACAGATGGGTTTGATCCACTTTCAGGGCAAGACATTTGCTCAAACCAGGAAAGAAACTGCTTAAAACCGCAATTCGTGACCTTCTACCGTTTCACAGTTTATATGTTTGAACCAGGAACTTTTCTCTCAAAAAGCTTTTACAATCAAAAGCATTAAAATGTATTGGCACTGTTTGGAATTGCCTTGGAAGTGAATCAATACCCCAGATGAGCTCTTTAGCCACGATCATAGTAATACATGCGCTTCTAGCCAACACCTATTAATCAAGACGTGTCATAGTTTCAGGGCTGCAACCAGGTTTTATTCACACAGGTTATTTAGCAAAAATATTTTCCTTTTATTCAGTGTTGTTAAATGTGAGTTCTCGGAGTGTACTAGACTGACAAACTGACATCATCAGCCATTAAAGATAATTAATCACTTTTCATATTTAGGCTCATTTCATTCGATTTGATTGATTCCTTACTATTCGATTTAAAATATTGAATGTCAGCAGCCCTGCATAACATCATATATTTGGAAAAAATGTATCACACACTCCCTCACATAAGGGTTTGGTTGATGTCAAAGAACATCATTTTAAAATTTTTATTAAAATGCCAAAATATGTTTCAGTTTTTATGGCCAAATTTAGTCTACCTCGTGGTATGTCCTACATGACAATAACAATATGTCTGATTCAAAAGACAGCCATCAACAGCATATAAGGTTAGTGTTCAAACAAATGTGTTCTCTCTGAGACCCTAAAATGTCTTTGTCTTCTCAGTGGACGTATGTAAATGAACAAAAGCTGAGAAATAGAAGTTACTAAAAAGCTGTCACATGAAGACAAAGTGAATGAGAGATTCCAATGAAAATCTGTTTGTTTTGTTTTTAAAGGTTTTCTTTGTTTCCTAGAATCCCCAATTTCTTTGAATTTATTTTGAATTTTGAGATCTCAAGCCTAAGAAAAAGAAAAAAAAACTCATCCTGTATCATAGCCGCACATCTAAATCTAAAGTCTTGGCATTCATTTAGTCGAAACAGACCAGTCCTAAGTCTCATACCATTTTTTTTTTCTGTGGGGTTGAATGATGCTTTGATGATAAATTCTGCTGTCATAGATGCAAGCTTGATCTATAATCCCCTAAAGCTGGTGCCAACAAGGCCTTCCGTTGTGGGTTTTTGCTGAAATGTTTGTGTTTTATAACGTCAACTACTCATGGGTCAAATCACGTGTGAAAATAATTCTTTTTAAATGATGTGAGCACCAGATATGTGGATTATCTGAATAAGACAGTCACAGAAAAGAATACTCAATTGGCATTAAGATCATTTTCTCGGGATTGCCTGTTCTTTTTGGCATCATGTGGTAATCCCCATCTATCTGGTGCTCCAAGCTAATTAAAGTAGATACAGATGAGTTACTGTTTGATCCCAGGACTCTTCCCAATATAAAACAAAACAATAAGTCTCCTCTGTTCTGTCACTATTACACCACCTTTGTCTTTTGTTTTCATAATGCAATGCACACGTTATGAAATGTATATAGTGTAAAATAAAAATGGGTTTGTTTTACATACTGTATAATTGCCTATATTTTGGTTCAGAAGTGTAACAGATTTATGAGATGACAGGTTAACACATTAAAAAGAAGGAACTGAGCCATTTGGTGTCTTGTGGTCATCATTTCTGATAAGACTTTGTCATGGAAGATATTTTATAATGTCACAGTGGAAAAAGTGTAAATTATAAAATTGATGATGGCTGAATTACAGTTAGGCACTTTGGTTTCAGGGTCCTGCTACTGTGCACAGTGACTCACTGTCACTGCACTGGAAAAGCTAAATCGAACAGAGCCGTTAATATTATCACAACCTATGTGCCTTTAACTACAGAATACTTAATTATTACTAGAGAAGGCGATATCTGAAGAAATCGTGGGTATGAATGCTGGTTGTTGAAAAGCAGACGCTGAACTGCATTGCTGGCTTTAGAAATAAATGAAATCGTGGAATATTTTTGTTTAATTTGTATGAAGAAGCAGCAAGGAGTATAAATAATGGCTGGCAACTAAACCGCATTGCTTTACTAAGGGCTGGGTAGAAGTAGCTAGTAGCCAACATCAGCCAAGAGGGCACGTGTAGAGACAAAAAAGCAGGGGCTAAAACCCCCTTTGGGTCTACAAGCACGTGTCAGCCCTGATGCTCTTGATCATGCTTCCACCTCGTCGTCTTCCTCTGAAAGCAAAAGAAGCAGAGCTGCTCTCACATTGAAAAGTCGCACCTGCTCGTCTGCACGCATTCTCTTCCTTTGTCTTTGGAAGAACAGTTTTCCCTGAAATATAATAAATGTCTTGTACCTCTCATATAACCAAATATATAAGGGCAAGAACCCCCTGCTATTATGAATATTATTCAGACTACACTAAAGTAAAGATTTAACACATGGTGTTAGGGACCAAGCAGCAAAGGCAGGGACACAAGGTTCATTTTGGAGAAGTTAAGGCTTTATTTAGCCAAATCAAACATTCGATCAGTACAGCATGAGAATGAGAAAGAATGAGCAGCCTGATAAATGTGAGTGAGTTACAATGCACTTTCATTAGTCATATTTACAGATGGATGGGATGGAAGACTGGAACCTTGAAACAATCAATCTGCTTAATTTTAGATGTATCCTGCAACTTCAACGAGTTAGGAATGATAATAACTTATTTGTAACATACTTGAATAACAGATATCCAACATCCAAGAGAAGTCCTTTTTCATTTATATATAGTCCAAAAATACAAAAGTATCCCAAAGGGGATCCAGCAAAAGGGAGTCTTTTTGTTATTTTAATCTTGTCCTATTTTAATAACCCAGTAATTCAGGAAAAGGACACCATCTGAACAACAACACATTTTCAGTGTTAACCTTTTATTTAACATTATTGTCTGATTGTCACATTCATCTCTTAACAACAGTTCTGTTGAATGCTAGAAATAATTGTCAAACATGTACTGTTTTGCCTTTAAACAAAAAAAATTCAAACAAAAAAATAACAGTTTTTTTCTTCTCCTGAGTAAATGCACAATATAATCATTTCTGTTTATGGCTTAAGAGTGAGTGTCAGAGCCGGTTGAATTGGTGGAATAGGTAAATCTAGGAACAGTACTCATTCAGAACATTTGCTGTTTCCCATACGGAAAAACAAACAGGGGACCACCTGCCAATCAAACTTTAAACAAGAATGTTTGCACAGATTGGGTTGCAAACAAAACTCCTTTAAAAAGGACAAAAGGAAAAGTAAAGGAGTTAGTTATATGAATAACATTTAGAAACTGGAGGTAGAGGAGAGCTATTTACAGTCCAGGGATAATAGTGTCAAACTATGTCTACTAGTGGGGAAGTTTGTAACCACATCTTCATTGGCAAAAAGTTCAATTTGGTCCATAACTGCAGTCACATTTAATCTTAACTGCCACTAAAGCCACATTGCTACCTTTATTTACTGTGCCATTTCGGTTTGGGCAAGTGATGCAAGTAAGATTGACAAAATAACACAGAACATGAGCAAGAATTCAACAAACAAAAAAAAAGGCATACACCTATGCCATGTGCTTTCCCTCAGTATGAAGGCCAGGGGCAGGACTTTTTCTTTCAAATAAAAATAACTTTTAAACTTCGAAATTATTAGAGGAAACGTTGCT